CAGTGTGGTATCGGTCCCGGAGCTATTAGCGTCGACGTCCATCCACACGAGGTCGGAATCGACATTTCCCAGGTTGTTCTGAGGAGCCAGGATTCCTCCAGGAGCTGGGGAAGGGCACAGTGACCAGTCGGTCAGAGGTAGGGGGGGAGCGATAGAGGGGAGGGGCTAAGAGAGGAGGAGGGGGAGCTAGGCTCTGTATTTGGGCTTGGCAGGGATCAAGAGAAGGGACAGGGGCTGTAAGAGGGCAATGGGGAGGTACAAGGGGTGTCGGAGATGGGGGCAAGGCCTGAAAAGTTCAGCTACTTTAGATGAGTTGTGCCAGAGAATCACCGGTTGAGGTGACTGAAAGTTCTGAACTGGGGGTGGCCAAAAGCATCCTCCTCAGATGGGAACATCCCAAAAGTCTGCAGAAGCTCAGCCTCTGAGGTGAACGTTGTGGCCCAAACGTCTCTCTGCTCTGTACCTCGCAGGATTGCAGCCGGCTGTTCCAATCCAGGAGGAAAACTCTGCCACTGAAATCTCACAGCCCCTGTGCAGTGAAGTGCCACTTAAACCCACTGTGATGCACAGACCTTGCCCTGGCTGTCTGCACAGGCCTGAATTTCACCCCTTCAGAGTGTAAGGAAATAATTGGCTGAAGGCCTTTTTTTCTTTTTGGATGGCTGTCTAGTGGGGAAAAACTATGGGGATTTTTAACCTGTTTGGCTCCCATGACTGGTGCTTCAATGATGCAGACAAGTGCTGATGCATTGGTTGATTTCCCCACCTTTTAATCTACTCTCTTCTTCTCTTTTAACAGGTATTCTAAGGGCACCCCGTGCTTCATATGGGCATTCTTGGGTGGGCAGATTGCATCAGACCTGCACCTTAATAAATAATAGTGAATGAAATATGCAGACACTAAAGTCCTGCAGACAAATTCGCAGAAACCTTCCTCTTCAATGTAGGACCAGGATTTTGTATTTAATTGATGTTTTTTAAAGTGCTGAGCAGATGCTACACTGTAAGGAGAGGAAATAGAAGCAAAAACTGAAAGAATGTTACTTAAACCGGTGAACAGATGCAGAGAGTGGAGACACAACAAAGCAAACAAATGAATACTGTGAGTAAATAACATGAAAGCAAATGGGGGGGAAACCCTCATCTGGGTAATTGTGGCTCTTGGCACAAAGATCAGGTTCCTGGTACTAGCCTGGCTGAAAGCATCCCTTATCCCTGGATCCCAGACCTAGGATACAGATGTCATTCTCTGTTTGGTGTCCTTATTTTACTCCTAGGAAAAGGATCCCCAAAGGAGGTGTAAGGATCCTGGACTGTGGTACCTGTAAGCAGCTTCAGCCACCTTCACAGGTAAAAGTCACTGTCTTTCCTACAATGCCACTAGTGCCCTTTCTGCTCTCCAGGTCTGCTCCCTCCAGCAGGTCAGAGACACCCCTTAACTCCCCAAGTCCTGATTTCTTGCCATTCAAGGGGCTGAGGGCTTCCATTGCCCCCACCCCCACCATCAGATACTTTTCCTATGGGGAGAAATCTGTTCTTCTCTTAGAAGCAGTCTGCTCAGTAAATCCACCCACATGGACCTCATCTCAGCTGCTTTGTTTATCTGAGATTAGTGGTATCTTTGGAAAACGCTTAGGGTGCCGGGGTGTGAGGTGGAGCAGGTGAGACGGGAGCTCCAGCAGATTCCCCTGAAGAACACCACCCTGTCTTTCTCTGGTCAGGCTAGAGCTCACCATCCATTGTGGAGGTGAAGACCGGATGGGAGCTGCTGGATTGACTTTGATGTGCCATGTCCTTGTGTGGATGAAAGACCTACGTCTCAGAGATTGCCAGCAGCAGATGTAACACGTGTCCAGGAATAGGCTAAACAACCTACAGTGATAGGTAAGTAAAATGTGGGGGAACGATAGCTCAGCGGTTTGAGCATTGGCCTGCTAAACCCAGGGTTGTGAGTTCAATCCTTGAGGGGGCCATTTAGAGATCTGGGCCAAAAATCTGTCTGGGGATTGGTCCTGCTTTGAGCAGGGGGTTGGACTAGATGACCTCCTGAGGTCCCTTCTAACCCTGATATTCTATGATTCTATGAAAATCATGGCCACATGTAGCCATCACAGGAGTTGGTGGGGATTGAACCAGGGTCCTTCAGCACAAACCCCTCTCACTCAGTGTCAACCAATCCAGCTCCACCCACTAGATCACACCCCTTTCCAGAACTGCAGAACCCAGGAGCCCTGATTCTCAGACCCGGGCCTTACATCAGAAGGCCAAACTTCCTCCCGTTAAGGGAGCTATAGAAAGGACCATCTGCAGAGACCCCTCTACATCCCCCCCGGTCAGAGACTGCTGCCTTGCCTGATCAGTGAATGAGCAGAGATCTCCCCTGTGGGAATCCGAAGGGCTGCATATTTAGGTTTCACAGAGAAGGCCTCCGGCAGCCATTGACAGAGTGTTCCTGTGAGGAGATTTTCTGTCTCTAACAAAAGGTTTCTGTTCCCCCAGATCATCAGCTGCGCAGCAGAATGCAGGAGAGCTGAGTGCGGATGGGCTAGAGGGGTCACAGGAGTCACCGCACGGCTGTGCAGCAGGTGCAGTGTCTGCAGTCATCACAGGCCAAACCCTGCGCTCCAGACAACCCAGGCTCTTTCTCTGGATTGCGAAGGGGACTTTAGCTTTAGCCGTTTTCATGTTTGCAATTAAAGGAAGCCAGATATCTAGCTACTTGAGAGCCCCCTTGTTCCAGTCAGGCAGAA